TTGTGTGTGGGGGACAGTCTCACCTGCAGATTTTAATATATACAGAGTTTAACAACTCTCTTTTAACAGAGATTTTAACATATGCATTATATTTTAAAGAATAATAATTGTGATAGAATAAATAACATCCTGTTTGTTATATGCAGATTCCAAACTGCTTTCCAAGACAAAGTTTTAAATGTTATTGTATATATTCCTAGGCCTGATAACCATCTAAAGATTTTTTTGCTTTTTCTTCAATTTCATGTGTCCCCAAATCTGATTTCTCTTCTACCTTCACCTAGTTATGGAGACTGACCAGGGAGGGTGGGAGGGGTGGGGAGCAGGGGGAGGAGTTTCCCCGTGAGGGCTGAGATCCTCACTGGGCGCAACAAAGGATGCCAAAATCAAAGGACTAAACAAGGCCAAAAACCATGCAGGAATGTCATGGGAAAGACCTAGAAGGGAAGCCACAAGAATCATCGACCAGATAGGAGGATGGGGTGGAGGTGTGGTGGCACCAGGTACAGTACCTATGGATCCAGAAATCTAGGGCCAGACAGAATAGAGCCAAGTGAAGCCTCTTCTCTGTGAACCATGTGGTGAATGGGAGCTCTATCATCGGTTTGACTCACAGTGGTCTAGATCTCCTGCTATTTTAAGCCAAGTGCATAGATAGTCACTTTACTACTCTTCAGTTTCTCATACTTCATCCAAATCTACTTTCTTTTAGTGGAGACTTCAAGTGGGTTCAGGTTAGCATTCAGCTCAGAAGTGCTACAGTGTCTCTGAGACATCAAGGAAAAGACACATTAAAGGACACCTTTCATTAATATTATTCGAATATCACATTCAAGGTTATCTCATGGTATCTTCCTTTACAAAAGAAAAATGTTACCACCACTCCACCCTTTATTATTTAAATATTACTTTACATATACTTTTTGGTATGCTTTCATGAAAATGTTTTAGACTTTTTCAATGATTCAATTCTGTCTTCTAAAATTTTTCTTTTTTTTTTAAAGCTTATTTGAGAGAGAGAGAGAGAATGTGCATTCAGGGGAGGGGCAGAGAGAGAGAGAGAGAGGGAGAGAGAGAATCCTGAGCAGGCTCCGCACTCTTAGCACAGAGCCCAGTGTAGGACTCCATCTCATGAATTGTGAGATCATGACCTGAGCTGAAATCAAGAGTTGGATGCTTAATCAACTGAGCCATTCAGGTGCCCCTAAAATATTTCTATTTTGAAATTTCTTTTAAACTCTAAAATTTGACCTTTTAATGAAAAGACAAGCAATGGACTGGGAGAAATTTACAAATCACAGGGATATTTTTAATGTTTATTTTTGAGAGAGAGTGTGGGGGAGGAGCAGAGAAAGAGGGAGACAGGGGATCCAAAGCAGGCTCCATGTAAAGCCTGTTGTAGGCCTTGAACTCATGAACCATGAGATTATGGCCTGAACTTAAGTCAGATGCATAACCAACTGAGCTACCCAGGTGCCCAACAAATCAAAGATTTGATAGAGGACTTTTATCTAGAATATGTAAAGCACCAGGGTGCCCAAGTGGCTCAGTTGGTTAAGCGTCCAACTTGGGCTCAGGTCATGATCTAATGTTGGTGGGCTCGAGCCCCGCATCAGGCTCCATGCTGACAGTGTGGAACCTGCTTGGGATTCTCTTTCTTCCCTTCTCTCTCTGTGCCTCCCCCACTCATGCTTTCTCTCTATCAAATAAATTAACTTAAAAAAGAAAACTTAAAAACATATGTAAGGCACCCTCAAACTCTATAAGAAGAAAATAACCCAATTTATTTTAAAAAAAATTTTTTTAACGTTTATTTATTTTTGAGACAGAGAGAGACAGAGCATGAACGGGGGAGGGGCAGAGAGAGAGGGAGACACAGAATCGGAAGCAGGCTCCAGGCTCTGAGCCATCAGCCCAGAGCCAGACACGGGGCTCGAACTCATGGATGGCAAGATCGTGACCTGAGCTGAAGTTGGACGCTTAACCAACTGAGCCACCCAGGCACCCCGAAAATAACCCAACTTAAAAAGTGGGCAAAAAGGTTTTAATAGACGCTTCACTAAAAGAATACATGGATACCAAATAAATATGTGAAAAGATACTCAACATCATTGAGATGCACATTAAAACCACAATGAATACCACTACATAACCCATTATAGTGTCTGTTAAAAAGACTGACCACACCGAGGAATGATGAGTACGTGGAACAACTACAAGTCTCATATGCGGCTGATGGGAATGTAAAATGGTACAGCCACTTTGGAAAACATTTTGGCAGTTTATTAAAAAGCTAAACATACACCTGCCATTGGTCTACTCTTAGGTATTTACCCAAGAGAAACGAAAGCATATGTTTCTACAAAGATTTGGATGTGAAAGTTCCTAGCAGCTTTATTTATAATCAAAAACTGACAGCAACTCAAATGTCTAGCAACAGATGAATGGATAAAAAAATTGTGGTATGTCCACATGATGGAATACTACTCAGCAAGGAAAAAGGGATGAACTACTGATACACATGCAACCTAGATGAAGCTCAAAATTGTGTGGAGTGAGAAGAGCCAGACAAGAGTAAATACTGTTCGCTTCTATTCTATAAAACTCTAGAAAATACAGACCAGTCAATAGTGACAGAAAGCAGATGGGTATTTGCCAGGGCTCACATAGAGTGGGGAGTCAGGGAAGACAGGCAGACAAGAAAGAGGAATTACCAAAAGGCAAGAGGAGGGGCAGTGATGGAGATGTTCATTATATTGATTGTGGTGATGGCTTCATGGTTGTATATATATGTGAAAACAGCAAACTGTACTCTTTAAATATGTGCAATTTAGGGCCACCAGCTGGCTTGGTCAGTTAAGCGTCTAACTCTTGATCTTGGCTCAGGTCATGATCTCATGTTTCATGGGATCAGGTGCCATGTCAGGCTCCATGCTGATAGGATGGTGCCTGCTTGGGATTCTCTTTCCTTCTGTCTGCCCCTACTCCAATCATACATGCACATGCTTTCTCTCTCTCTCTCTCTCTCTCTCTCTCTCTCTCTCTCTCAAAATGGGTAAATAAAAATAAATAATAAATGTTTAATAAAATATATTTAATAAATTGAATAAAATTGTTTAATAAAAATATGTGTTGTCATATGTCAATAATACTCTTTTTTAATTTTTTTAACATTTATTTTTGAGAGGTAGAGAGAGAGAACAAGTATGGGAGGGGCAGAGAGAGAGGGAGACACAGAACTTGAAGCAGGCTCCAGACTCTGAGTTGTCAGCACAGAGTCCCACGTGGGGCTTGAACTCACAGATGGTGAGATCATGACCTGAGCCAAAGTCAGACCCTTAACCAACTGAGCCACCCAGGCGCCCCTCAATAATACTCTTAAAGCAGTTAAACTTTACACACACTTCAGCAGAAACTTAAAATTTTGATTCCTTTTCACTGTAATCCAAAAAACTGCTTTACGAGAGCTATTCCTTCACCTCTAAAACAAATATTTTTTAAGGAATATTTTGCTCTTATTTCTTTAATCTGAGGTTAGCAAATTTAAAAAATTCAGTCAGCAGATTTAAAAGAGTTATTACTTTGATCTTGAAAGCCATTAAAGAAATCCAAAATGTGCCACGAAGTCTATAAATGAAAAACAGAAGTGAGAAAGAATTCCACATTGCTTTAGTTAGAGGTCACAAGATACCTGAAGCTCCAGGTGAGGAGTGCAGGGAAGGAATAGAATGGGAAAAGCCAAGCCCTATGCTAATAGTTGATCAATACGGATTTTAGTCTTCCCCACTTCTAGACCTATCCTTTCAAAAACTTTTAGATTCTCTTCCCCTTGATTCCATCTGTTAAACTGAGATCATAATATCTGTACTCCCTACCTTAAATAATGTATGTAGTCAGAAGAATAGGACCATTAATTTGGTATTGTCCCCATTTATTTACATAAGAGAGAGTAAGAGAGTGGCTATTCCCGCAGCAAATTTGTTTTGCTGTTGCTTCTCCTATGGAATTTCACTACAGACATGTAAGTATATCTAAAACATTAGAAGGTTGATGGCCATTTTGGGGGCACCTGGGTGGCTCAGTCGGTTAAGTGTCCAACTTTGGCTCAGGTCATGATCTCAGGGTCTGTGAGTTCAAGCTCCACATCAGGCTCTAGGCCGACAGCCCAGGGCCTGGAGCCTGCTTTGGATTCTGTGTCTCCTTCTCTCTCTGCCTCTCCCCCACTTGTGCTTTCTCTCTTTCTCTGTCTCTCTCTCTAAAAATAAACATTAAATTTTTGGTAGTTTTTTGTGTGTAAAACATTAGACCTTAGGGCAGAACATGACATACATTGAGCTGAGCCTTTTTAAAAACTTGGTGTCATTTATGCAAGTTGAGACTATGTATCAAACCTGAAAATGCATCATCAGGGACATCAGTGCTTTACTTCAGATGGGAGCAAATATATCAATGCACTGGTTATAAATGGAAAGAGGATAATGAAGATTTTGGGCAGACGTTCGTTTTCACTAACAAATGTTCAATTATTTGCAAAGGTCTTTCATAATGTTAAATTGGAGGAAGTTATAATTGTGAGTATAAAATTATAAAATTATCATTTCTGTTCCTCTGTTATAAATGCAATCTAACTAGGATTAGTGTCTATTAATTCACTTGTGATACAGCTTGGTTTAAGAGAATCTTGGAATAAGGGCACCTGGGTGGCTCAGTGGATTAAGTGTCCAACTCTTGGCTCAGGTCACGATCTCACAGTTGTGAGTTCAAGCCCTACGGTTCAGCGCTGACAGTGCTGAGCCTACTTGGGATTCTCTCACTCTCTCCCTCTTTCTCTGCCCCTCCCCCACTAGTGCTATCTCTCTCTCAAAAACAAATAAACTTAAAAAAAAAAAGAGAGAATCTTGAAATAAAGTATAGGCTACTGTTCTCATTAGTTCTCAGCAACCATGTGTGGTTTTCATGGCAGTTTCCAGGTTAGTATTTTTACTGATGTTTCTCCATAGATCACAAAATTAGGAAATCTTCTAGAGTCAAAAGAAGACCATTGCAACAGACTCATTGAAGAAAATGACAAATATCAAAGATACATAGGCAACTTAATAAATAAGGTACAAATGTTCTTATAGAAATATTTGTCTTTAAAAACTATGCCAAATATTAAAATAATAGAATTTTAGTGCTACAAAGGATCTGAAGAATGATGGAACACATTTATATTGATTCTTTTCACTTCATAATGACATTATAAAATGCTCCCATCAGCCTTTTAGCTGACATCTAACAAAGAACATTCTGTGTATCTATCCCTTGCTGTTGGCAATTTTAGGTCTTAGTATTACGACTTCATTTTGAGGGTAATTGTAGATCTTTTCAACTTAACATTCTAGTTTACCTTCTGAAAACTGCATTAACTTTAACCAAACAGGCTCTAACCCTTAGCTGATACATCTACCACTTGTGTGGAAGACAACTGGATTATAGTTGACTCACTACAGTTGTCCATTTTCTGACACTTCACTCTTTCTGCATGATGAATAGGTACTTTATGATTCTATTTCTATTCATATTCCTGATTTCAAACTGTAAGGAAGATGTTTTGCCTCCTGTAAAGCTATTGATGAAATTCACATAATTGAACTTCAACTGAAGAGATTTTTATAAAAGCAAATATAAACAAAAATAAAAATTATAGAATTTATCATAGAATAATTTTTTGGCTTATTTTTTTCAAGGTTACATCATATGAAGAAATTATCGAATGTGCTGACCAAAGGCTTGAGATATCCCACTCCCATATTGTACAGTAAGTTGAAAAAAGCTTAGTTTTTAATTTTGTAAACATTTACCGGTATTTTATTTTGCTCTCTGCCTTACCAAGTTTATTTTTTTAGGCTCCTAGAAAGAGGAAAAATGTGAAGTTTTTATAAATAAAGGCCATTCTTCAATCAAATAGTCTGCTCAATGTCTGACTACTTGAATAACCAGATTTTCATCTTCTTTTCTCAGAGCTCCCTTTGATTTCAGGGAGGGGGGCGGTGACAAACTTAGTGAGAAAGATCCAAAAATTTCAGGAGCTATTCCATGGTGTTCAGGTAAAATAACCTTGCAATGCTTAATGCTTAGACTTTATTCACAAAAAGTTTTGAATGCACACCAAATGAAACATACATGTATATATATATCAAGTGCCAACTAAACTCTCTCATGAGAATGAGATTCAGCTTGAGGCATCTGGGTGGCTCAGTCAGTTGAGCGTCCTACCCTTGATTTTGGCTCCGGTCATGATCCCAGGGTCATAGGATGGAGCCCCACATCAGGCTCCACTCTGAGCACAGAGTCTGCTTAAGATTCTCTCTCTCCACCTCTGGCACTCTCTCTCTCTCTAAAGAAAATAAAAAT